AAAAAAAAAGAAGAAGGGGCTCTCTCCGGCTCCCAGGACCCGAGAGCTCTCTCCAGCTCTTGGGGGCCTGGAGGCTCCCCGGTTCTCAGTCCCTGAGGCTGTTCCTGCTCTTGTAGCCGGGTTCCCCCCACGAGGACCACCAAGCGGGGCTGAGGTGAACAACGCTACCATGAATTGTATCTGACTCCATTACTTGACTCCATCCTTTAACTCTCATGCTCTCTATGACTTTACTATAATCTTTACTTATTAATCGCTGTGCAACTGCACCTACTGGACCTGTGATGTTTTGTGGGGAACCCCTCCTCCCTTATCCCCACACATTAGCAAACATGTAATGTCTAACTATTATGTCCAAAACTCAAGATATCAAATGAAGAAAATACATTTAATTCATTATTTGTGTTGGCAATTTAGAGACAGAACAAATAACTCTATTTCTCAAATTACAGAACTTTTGTATTTTATTATAAAATTCAGGAACATGAATGAAAGTTCTTTTATCTCATCAATGAATACTGACCTCAAGCTCTGGAATTATAAAAGAGATGTTGGAAAACTAAAGCTATTTTTGCTACCAGATGGCAAGAACTATGATTCCTGACTTTGTTTCAACAAAGTGTCCTCTAATAAATTTTAATATTAAGCCATAAAAAAAGAATGTATACCAGGAAAAAACACTGTCAATTCCTTAAGAAACTAAGGTTTGATACAAGTTGGCTGGTTTGGAACTCTCAAATACTAAGAAGAAGGTCAGCGTCTCAAGACAATTGAAAACCCGATCTATATACAATTCAAAATACAACAGAGCGCCAAGATGAAGTACTAAAACCACAGTAGCTACTCACCATATAAAACACGATTTCTTAGTAAAATGACATGCCAAATACTATTTGGTTGTGAGATGTATGTGCATGTTTGTACATACACCACATATATGCACATACACAATGCATGCACACTTATGTTCCCTTTTCCCATTCTTTCAGCACTCCCCCTCTATTTTCCTTAGCATTAGTCTGCCTCTCTCAGGAATGGGACTAACAGTTGGGGATGGGTGCTCACGTGAGACATAGACTAGGGAGAAAATGAAGCAGCAATATTTGGCAGCTGGAACAAGGTAATCATGTCATGACTAACAATGGTACATCATCACCAAATGTCAACAGCCATTAGCTCTAAGAAGTTACTTAGTTAATTTTTATTCCATCACTAACTTTTCTAATTCCAAAAGTGATGAGTTTGGATTAACAATAAAATATCCCCAAATGCTTAATAGTCATTATACTTGGGCAGTTAGTTTACAGTTATTTTTTTTTAAGCTCTAAGTTTTCTGTAAGGACCTGTTACATGTCTTAAGTTGTTGTCTTGTTCTGTGTTATTAGTGAACAAAGCTTAGGTGCTGTGAAAGCGAAAGCTGTGAGAGTTCTGAAGGAAGACAAGGGCCAGGGCACCGTCTGCAGGGCTGGCCTGGCTACAGCGACAGGATGACAACCCGTTACTGCGCCTTCTGAGTTGGATACTCTTCAACTTAATATCAAGTCCTTCTAACATGTCGTGAAAAACAGCCATCTATTAAAGCGATTGTATCACAAACAGGGAGACCGCAATTAACTTTAATCTATATTTCTGATAAACATTTTGGATTTTAACTTTTATTTGAGATCTAAATCAACATCCTGGATAGCCATTCTTAATATGTTTTATGCTGTTTACTCGGGAGCTCGCTATTAATATACTAACCACCATCTATACTCACAAACAGGCTTTCAGAAACTACAAGTTAAGTATGTCCAAAACAAGTTTACTCCACACCAAACTACACTTCTAGTCAGTAGCAGGAGTGAAGGCAAAGACTGAAGTTACTATACTTCAAGTACACCATCCTCAAATACAGCAACGACAAAAGCCAGCTTCTGAGAGAGACAGACAGACAGAGATAAAGAATACAGAAACATTTGGTGCGATGTAGACAAATCATTTTGAAGATTATCTCATCTTGAATTAACACAAAATGGTGTTTTACATGCTCAGCTTGCACATGTGATCGTCATCTGCTGACTTTTTATATTCCAGGCTACCCAAAGACGATAGCGGTCTCACATTTGACAGCGAGCTTGTCTTTCCCTTGACCTTCACACGCCCAGCCTTCCAGAGTCATGGAGAAAGTCCAATACCTCACTCGCTCTGCTATAAGAAGAGCTTCAACCATTGAAATGCCTCAACAAGCACGTCAAAATCTCCAGAACCTATTTATCAACTTCTGTCTCATCTTAATATGCCTCCTCCTGATCTGCATTATTGTGATGCTTCTCTGAAGTCCCACTGCAACCTCCAATACACCGTCACCACGTCACTTTCCGGTCAGTCGTCCCAGGAAGAGGGAAACAACACTGGGTAACAGACCGCTTTCTGCATGGAAGAATTTCTTTGTGAGGAGGTCAAGAGTCAGACCAAAACAAATCGCCAGCAAAGGTACTCACCTGCTGGAGCTTGTAAATATGATCAGTGCTTTGACTGCAAAAACTAACTGTAAAATGACTATTATGTAAGTGTGCATAATGTCACTATTTATATCCTTGCCATGACTTGTAAGGTTCTGTCCCAAATCTTTCCCGAGGATAGAGTAGGTACTGAGCTTTGAAACTGCACTGCTATCAAGTTCACTTCGGATATTCTGTATTAACTTCACTGTGCGGAACACACAGAAATTATGTCACATAATAAAACACCTTCATAATAATTGTTCAAGTCTTCAACAAAGGACAAAATAACAATACAAATAAAGTCTCATTATTAAGAATAACCTTTAGTAGTGCTTCCATTCTAAAATAGAAGTTGTATTATTTACCTATACGACCACAAAGCTCTATAAGAATCAAGTAGGAAAAAGTAAAACTGTACTCTTGCATAAATAAAATTCCTCCTGAATAATTTTCCAAAGAAGAACTATAGTACATGTAGGTAAACCATAAATCTGTTCTCCCTAGATTTTATAATCAACAAATGTGAACTGGTAGTAATTTAATATCTGAGTTTGATTAGCCAAAATTACTAATAATTTAATAGACTCTAAGCTTAATTTAAAGCACTACTGTTGATTATCTGAGTTACCACATATAACATGCCATGAAAGCGTAGAATTTAAGAATGATGTTATGGATCATCATTTATACCAACCTCAGTCTAAGAAGAGAAAAGAATGAAGACTTCCAATGACAGAAAAAAATCTATTAACTTCAAGCATCAAAAAGCTTCTTTTTTCTTTTTTTGCATTCTCACTCAAGTTATTAACAAATTATTTGAGTACATTTTAAAATGATAGCTTTTGGCCCAGGTGTTGTTTATAGTTCCAAGACCTGGCAATGCAGTGGTTAAGCCCTCAACTGCTACCTGAAAGGAAAGGTAGGTTTCGAACCCACCCTGGAGAAAACTGTGGCAGGCTGCTTCCATAAGGTTGCTATGAGTCAGTCTACTCAACAGTGGGTTTGGTTTTGATGATAGCTGATAAAACAACAGCTATTTTCCTGAACTATTGACTAGATGATAAATACCTACCTAAATATTTATCTGAGAAGACAGTAATATAGTTTCAAATGAAAAGGCTGTTGAATATATTGTCACATCCCAGGCTGGTAGATTGCAGTTTTATCATTACTTCTCACATACCTTTCTTTGTTCTATTAAAAAAGATAGATTTTTTCACTCCAAATTATATTGTCTTAGTTATCTAGTACAGATATACCCAAAATGCCACAAGTGAATGGGTTTAACAAACAAATATATATTCAAAAAAACTACCTATTTCATAGGCCATTCTATAATTCGGCTTAATTTTGACCCAACAATCCAAATCTGTAATTCTTTTCTTCCTTTACAAATTTCTGCCGCATTATTTGAAAACTTCTCCCCACAACTAATAAAATGAGCACTAAATAAAAATTGGTCTTGGAAAAATATATTCCACAATATTAAGCAGTTGACTCCGTTTAAAATTAAGACTACACCTCTTTACCACTATAATCTAACAACCTTTCATGGCAGTTCAAAACATGTTACTAATATCATTTAACAAAGGAGTAGATAATGTATGATTTACCATGTTGTATTCTAAAATATGGTTACTGAAACAATTGAAACATCAATGCTGATCTTGGTTTCTAGATAAATGTTGCTAACTAAATACTGATGGAAGCACTGCTCTTAAATTCCCTGATGGCAAGAGATGTCCTCGAGAAGGGAAGCACAGTGGTCTTTGCTCATTAATGTAAAGAAAGAGGGAAATGGGTTGTTGGGAGGTTTTTTGTTGGTGATGGTGGTTTTTAAGCAAAGCCTCCAGCTAATTAACAAACCACTAACCAAACCTGGAGAGCTTGTAAATAATGTCACTTTGCTCCGCAATCACCCAAGGGAGAAAAAAAAGTCACGTAACTCTATAGTAGATAAATTGACCTTCAAAATAAATAGGACATTTGAAATAGTTTCCTTTTTTATTTCACTGTTCATTACAACATCTGTCCAAACTATTATTAACTGTGATTTTGTGGGTCTTTCCTCAGTATAATGAAATAGATATTTTTGGGATTTTTTTCTTATCATCTGATAGAAATTTCAACCTTCTATTTTGAGGCGTATAGAATACTATTACTCAGATTATGGTATAGAGCAAAAGTCATTCTTTAAATGGGACTTAAAACTTCAGTTTCTCCTGATGTACAAAGAGTTAAGATCATAAAAGCATTTAAAGAATTTTAAATACCAAATGCTCAAATAATTTCTACTTTAGAATAAATGCTAATCTTAATTTAAAGTATATTAAAATAATTTTTAAATGTTCATTGTGGCCTTTTATATTTTACTTGGTTAAAAAAGGAACACTGTTAATGCAAATTATCAGTATCACTCATGAGAATGCATGTTCTTGAGCACAATGGAATTGTTCTGTAATACACTCGTATTGTTAATATGACTATATAAAAATCTAATTACAAGTAGTTTTGACTTTACAAGTTGTTTTTGGTTCTTCTCCCCAAATAAAATGACATATTCATCATATGGACACAAGGGGGCAGACTACACAATACAATGGATTTGTTATTAACTAAAAATTAACAGCCCCGATTGTTTTGGGGTTTGGTGGCAAAAAGAGAAATGGGTAAATACTCGAGAAAGATCGTTTTCTATTACGTAACAACACACTTTAAAAAGTCTAAAACTTACATACCAATACCGTTTTTTTTTTTAAAGTTGGCATGCTATAAAGATGAAAACATGGAAGAAACATTTTATGTATCCAAACAAGCACACAGAAATAAATAAATATGACTGTGCCATTCTATTACATCCTACTTATTGAGACTGTCATAGTACTCATCTAGCTCACAGCAGCTGGAAGATCACCCCCCAAACAAGACAACTGAGACAAATGGTGTAAAACAATAAATGAAAACTGTTTCTTCTCAGATGACTTAGCAGAATATCTACAATAGCCCCAAGTCATAAATGGGAAATTTTCCATTCTTATTTCATGTTAGATTAAAAACTCAGTTAATTTTAAGTCATTTTACAAAACTCCTGATTTATATTTTTTATTTACCTAAGATAAATTTTCAAATAAATACATTATGCTAAAATTATTAGATGCTCTCTACGACTTAAAAGCACAAGATTGTATCCTCTTCTTTCAAATGAATGCAACTCAGTTCTAAAAACACCCAAGAGATGAGAAAAGCATGAGAAAAATGAAACAATGAAGTCAATAAAGAGCCCACTTTTTCTCTCCTATCTGGCTGGGATCTCCATGTGGGTTTCGTAGGAAGCCAGTGGTACTGACTGCTGTGCATACACCTTCTTGGGGAAAAAATCATACACAAAGGAATGGAACAGAGAACATATGGAAAGGGAAGTCCCTACACACACACAGCCTGCACCCCACCCCACGCCGCCAAAAAAAAAAAAAAGATTGTACTATGTTTCTGTTGTTTGCTGCCACAGTCTCACCCAGAAAGTGGCAGAGGTGGGAGGGACAGCGGCGAATAGCACGAGATGACACACATGGAAGTAAGACACAGACACTTCCCTTCATTTGCACAGGGAATACTTGAGAGCTACTTGCACAGTAGCTGACTTAGCAGGAACCCACGGAAAGCAAGGAACATCACTGATATAAAACTGGGAGGCTTGGCTCCAGAATGATCTGGACTGAATCCTAAGAGGCAAAACTTCCCCGGCACAGCAGTAACCTATTCCAGGAGGAAATGAAGGAATACTGTAAGAACTACATCCCCTACCACCAAGCCGATTCTGACTCAGTAACACAACAGCTACAAAGTTCTATGGAAATCTACGGTGTTATTTGATCTACACTTTCAGTCAAACTCCTTTCTTGATTGAAAAAGAGTTGCTGTACATCATGAGAGTTTAGCAGTTGTGTCTGAAAATGACACACATCTCACAACCAGATGGGCTGATCCTTATGAGAGCTTAGCCCTTTGAGTAAAGCTCAAAGGAAATGAATATTTTACAGACATCTAAGAAACAGGTAACGTAAGTGTTAAGTAGAGCTGCTACTTCACTATTTCAGACTTTGTTCATTGTAGCTCAAATGAGAAGTAGAAATGAAGGAGTCCTTTAAATGTTGCGACTGCAGAGTGGGTTTTCTGCGGTTGGCTTCATTCTTCTATTCCAAAACCAAGTTCCATCAAGAGACCAACCCACGCGCACAGACACACAGTAGGGCTTCCGAGAACAGCACATTTTGTCCCTCTCCTCCCTCTACCACGCACCGAGCAGAAGATTTAAAAAATAAGTGTGCTTCTGACTACATCCCCAGCCTCCTTACCTGATTCTCTAGCATTGATTTCAGGTTAGGGAAAACTTTGTTTACAAGCAGAATGAGAAAGAATATTTAAATTCGTTCCAAAACAAAAAAATTCGCTGCCAATGCATCAGTGCTGACTCAGCAACCCTACAGGACAGGGCAGCACTGTCCCTGTGAGTTTCTGAGACTGTCACGCTTTCTGGGCAGGGAAAGCCCCATCTTTTTCCCTCAGAGCAGCTGGCAGATTTGAACTGCTGACCTTAGGGTTAGTAGCCAAACTCATAACCACTATGCCACCAGAACTCCTCAGCAAATTTGCATGTATTCTTTTAAACCTGCCCAGTTTCCAGAGTTATCTTACCCAAGCATTTGAGAGCTAAAAAGTGATCTCATTAGAGAAATTTTTCCTACCTTTCTGTCACGTGAATTGATAACTCACAATATGATTAAACTGCTCATTTCTGATCTGCAAGTCAGACATCTAATGCTTCCGTTTCCATGTGGCTTAAGCAGACATAACAAAGATGTTAAGGGCTGTGTCCAAAGGTCCAAGTAACACAGGGTCTGTTCTCTGATGAATGTAGCACTTTAAACTGGAAGTTCATTTGGGGGCTGTACTCAGTTTCATGAGGTTCCTACAGAAGTGATCTTCTTATCCTTTCTTACATTCCTTTTCAATGTTTTTTACTGTTTTTTGAATATGTGAATACTGACGCTTAAATTTTTACTCTAGGGAAAATTTGAAATTTTGATAGAATTGTTACTTCAGAAAACTGTTCAAAATAAAAAGTTAGCAGGACATTAAAATTCTATAGCTTAAAAAATCTTATAGCTACTTGTTTCAGTTTTGAAAGGCTCCCAACTCGACCTGACCCTGTGGATTTCCAGGACGGTAGCTCTTTACAGGGGTAGAAAGCTTCCGCTTTCTCCCATTAAAAATGCTTAGGTACCACATAAAAAATACAAAATCAAGATGGATCAGAGACCTAAATGTAAAGCCTGAAACTGTAAACATCGTCCATGAAAAGCCAGAGACAGACTTAGGGGCCCTTACACATGGCATAATACTCTGTCAGACATAATGGACACACACACAGAAACAATCAGATGGCTGGAACCTTCTTAGACATTTTTGTGCATCAGAAGATTCCACCCAAAGAGGAAAAAGAAAGCCCACACACTGAGAAAAGAACTTTGGCAATTTGGGGACTAATCTCTAAAGCTTTAGGAAACTGCAACACCGCAAAAGACAATCCAATTAAAAAGTGAGCAGAAGACGTGGACACTTCACCAGAGTCTATATTCAGGCCACCAATAAACATAATGAAGAAATGCTTCTGATAATTAACCATTAGACATATGCAAAACAATGAGCTATCTTCTCATCCCAGCATTAATGATAAAGTGAAGAAGAAGAAAAGAAGGAAGAAAACATGGTGGGAAGGATGTGGAGTAACTAGAACCCTCTGCTGGTAAGACTGTAAAACTAAACAGTATGACGCTTCCTGGAAACGCTGGAAACAGAAATGCCCTAAGGCCCAACAAACCTCCTACTATTTCTCCTAGAGAAATAAGAGTCGTGACGTGAATAGACACAGACACACCCAAGTCCATCACAGCACCATTCACAATAGCAAGAGATGGATACAACCTAAAAGCTCATGGGTGGAAGAACGGATAAACAAACGTTGGTACATAGACATGATGGAATATACGATGTTAATTAACGATGAATCTGGGAAACACTTCTAAACATGGATGAACTTGGTGGGTCTGGCGCTAGTAAACTTAATCACAAGAGGACAAATATTGTATAAGTCTACTATTTTTAAAAGTCCAGGAAAGATTTTCATCCTGAAAGAAACGTTCTTTGATGGTACCAGAGGCAAGAGGGGAGGGCGGAAAGGGTAAGTCACAGGCTTGGAAGGCAACACACAACCAGAGGAAGGCTGGCATAAAAATGATAGAGGCAGGGAAGGCACTAGGAGGTTTACAAGAGTTAAAGACAGAGAGGCAGTTACTATTACATACAGAACCATACAATAGTAGTAGTCTATACTTGGATAGATGTAGTATTAAATAATCCATAGAGATACTCTCCCCATCTCTGTGTGCTTCCTTTAAGTTAACAATGACCTCCTCCCAGGTCTCTAGATTGAAAGTTCCTTCCTCCGGGAACCATGGATTATACCTTTTTACTACTTTTAGAAAACACTGCATCTTTTTCTTCGTTACTTTTACACTCTGTCTTTTCAGTAAGTAGATGAGCTTAGTACCATACGTTTCAGGTTTACTTTTACCTTGCCCCATTGTTCTCTTTAAAATACTCATTCAATATTTACACTACTTATCTGCCAATCCCCACACCGGATCTTCACACAATTTTCAGATTCACTCTACATTCCGGTGGGGCCGTACAATTTTTACATGGGATATATAACTCATTGCCACACGTCGAGCGCCATTTGTAGTATTAAATAAAAAACAAATTGACGCTGATGGAGGGAGGGGGACCACCCCTGTGGAGGGATGAGACAGCAGTCTGGCAACTGATTCCCTCAGGGGAGGGAATGCCTGCGCATCTGACCTTCCCCCACAGATAGACATACAGGTTGAAATGGTATGGGGTGGAAAGTGGGAATAGACCCACAAATACACATCTAGGCTTACCAAAGGATATGTGTACTGACCTTTAAATACATCCACAAATGTGGTGAAGCATATGGGGCCCAAAGTTATAAAAAGTTCTCAGACATAATCAAACACCTTGGCAGTGGGAGTCACTGGGCCTGGGGGTGGGGAGGTGGTTACCCAGAACTAAAGTCTCAGGGAACACCAAGATCAAGTGGCACAACATAGTTCACCAAAACAGTGTTCTACGTCCTAGTAGGGTATAGAGATGGGGGTCTTGAACACTCCTGAGCAGCCACCTAAGGTGTCCAGAGGAAAGAAAAGGGATGCACACTGAAAGACACACGGAAACAATTTAGTCCAAAGGTCGAATGGGCCACACAAACAGCCGTGTCCACAAGCTTTACACAAGAAGAACCAGATGGTGCCTGGCTATCACTACCAAGTGTCCTAAAAAAGTGCACAGCTGGAGGTCCTCGATTGAGTGGGAGAAATCCGTGGAGCGAAACTGGTCTTAGAGAGATTGGTGGGACCCTTCAGGTCTAGTCACCCTTCAGGTCTGGTACGGAGCTCACCCCCTCGTTTGAATACTCAACCACTTAAGATCAAAAGGGCAACACTGACCACAGGCAGTGCAGAGGGAGGAGAGGAGGTGGAGGAATGCAAGAGGGAAGACGGTGTGAAGAGGACGTGTGAGGGCACACTGAGGGGGTGCAGGGGATGCGCTGAGATAAAATGTGTTTCATTTGTGAAACGTAAAACTTAGGATCCGCTAGGTACACCTTCAACTAATTATAAAGTTTCTTTTTAAAATAAACTAGGTAATGAGCTTTCAAAAAAGCATTTTCCAATGAAGAAAAAATCCAAATGTATATGACAGTCACTAGCCCCCTTAGAAGATATACTCTTTTCTTTACGCATCAGATCACCACAAACATTTTCTTTAAATGAATAACCAAAATAGCTTGACCTTGTTTCCTTCTTTAAAATGAGCTCATATTTCACCCAGATACAAAGCATCCATGATGAAAACTTTACAACTGATTGGCTCCTCCTTCTCAGCTTACAGACGGAGAAACTGAGGCCGCAGGAAGTCCACAACAGGCTGTGGTCTGACAGGACCAGGAATACTATGTGACATTCTATGCTATTCTTCCTACTGTGCCATGATAGCGTCTCTGTTTCTGTTCCAGGGCCTTTAGACTGACTGGTCTTGTTTACTGTGACCAACAAATTAAGGGGGGGGGGACGAGTTTGGTGTAAGAGTTGAAGTTTTTCAAGTTAATCAGTCTCAACTACCTGTAAGATTTATTTATTAATTCAGTACCTTTCAAGTTTTCAACATTTGTGTTTATGAACTTGGAGAGGAAAGGAAAGAGCAAAGGGAAGGCAAAAACAACCCCATGTGACAGGTTTACTGTGAGAGACAAGTGACTCACTTCCAAGTTGTTGTACTCATAATATCCACTAGAGGGAAGCAAGCACTAGAGTTTGATCCTTACCTGCATCGGTGTTTCACTCCCTGGTCTAAACTCTTCAATTTGCTGCTGTTGCCAAGGAGCTAAACTGTAAGAGTCCTCTGTAGCTCTACATTCCAAAGGATTTGTCCGCAACTGCTCTGTAAGCCACATTTGCGTCCTCACAGAAGGCTGAATGGGAACCCCACCTACTGCCTGTTGACCAAGTATTAAATATTTTGGAGGTTCAAAAGCCCCTGAAGTTGTCATAATGGGCTTGCTTTCAGGTAAGGCACTGTATGTCATATCTAAAGTTTGTCTCCTAAGTGTGGAGGGAAAGGCTCTAAAATCCTCTTTGCTACAGCTTTCATATTTATATTTACAGTCGATAGTGGATGACCGTTTTTTATTGACTTCTTTGTCCTCTAGTGTAAGCATTTCCAAACTATCATGGAAGCTGGTAGGCCCAAGAGTCCTTAATTGCGAAGGTAACACCTTGCTCCTCCCTGTCTTTTCCAAGCCAATCCGGGACTCTTCTGTGTGTGCCAAGCCATGTTGACTGCAGTTAGCTGGGGCAGTGAGTTTGGATAAAGATGACCATTTCCGGATGGGCCGGATGTCCTTCATGTCTAGTGAAGAGTCCTGCTCCTCCCGACTGCGACTTCCCATGGTTTGCACGAGGCTCTTGCTCCATTTTGAGCCATCGGGTGTCAAAGAGTCCCTGTGTCGGGAAGTGCTGGCGTTGGAGGGCATCACATGGGCAGTAGGAAGGGTAACCAATGACCGACTGGGCCTAAAGGATAACGTGCCACTTGAGGTTGAATGATCTAGAAAGAGAAGAAATTGCCAAATTAATTTCAATTAACAGAAATGGGGGGAAAGAAAGAAATTGGGTCAAATGAATAATTCCAATACAAAGAATATGGCTTCCCAGCACGTTTTTAGACGTGCTTTCTCAAATGAGACTTAAAAATCATTATTATTCCCTTCATATATTACAAATAGGTCAAACATTTTCAACAATTATTTTCCAAGTATGGATATACAATTAAAGCTATGTCCATTATTATCTGTTTACAAATGAAAAGATGCCCCCAAAGCAGTTTATATTTCATGGAAAAATGCACCTCCCTGAATGAAAGTCTTATTTACAATGTAGCTTTGAAAGCTCAGACACAATTCTGTCAGCAAACAGTATTTTTCGGTCTTTCTTGAATTGTGGAAATCTCTGTCCATTCTGCATATTTTCAACACCTCACCACATGCTCACTCAAAGTGGAAATATGGATAAAGGTGTTCTTGCAGTCACGAAGAAGGAGGAGGCAGGCTTCTAGCAACATATTTGTGAAAACAAAGTGGTTCCTACATTCCCATTCTCAGAGCTTGACGCCATTAATGGCATAATTACCAAGCTAGAGCTCTTGGACTCTGAGTACTACCTTCCTCTACACATTCATTAAATCACCAAGTTGTAAAACTTACATCCAGTCAGCGAATTATATTCTACAGAAAGCATTAGTTTTAGTTAGCTAAAGGGGTGTTCAAATGATAAATAAAGGTCTCTATGCTCAATAAACTAGCCAACAATTATCAAATTATCATCAAATATACATTAAAAACAAAGATTATGAGGTAAGGGGCCAATCTAGAAAGGGGCAGCACTGTGAGGACAAGTAGAGACAGGAGGAGAGCAGCAGAGTTAACTTTTGCATGTGCTGTACATTCCTTTAATCATAGTTGCCTCTTACTTAAGGACATACATAGATGTGAGCTGGGTGCTTTCAATGGATTCTCAATGGATTCAGTAATGTGTGTGTGCAGGAGTTCATAAAGCCCTGAGAAAATTCAGAAGAGAAAAAAGTAAGTGGAATACTTCCGAAACACAGAATTTCCACTGGTGACTGCACAGAGCTTACTCGCCTGGAGATGAAACGGGGAAAGCATTACAAATAGAATAAAACAGCAAAAGTATGACCGTGGATATTTATTACACACAGCGCTGCTTATACGCTTCTGCAGAATCTTTTTATACTCGGGAAATTTTCCACATTATGACTCCAACCTCCTAAAATAAACTTCAGATCTCAAGTTCCCAACATACTTTGCAATGACGATGCAGAAGCATATATTCAGATTTGGGTTTGGAAGTGAGTCAAATGAGAAAAACAGGCTCTGTGTAGAGCACCTTTTCTTTTTTCTTTTTTTTTGTGTGTGGCTAATTAGGCATCCCACAGATGACAACAGCAGCGGGATCCCCTTAAAGGTTGAGAACTCAAGGGCCTAGCCAAGAGACGGCAGCTGTGGGGCACACTAGTGGTTTCCTCTACTGCTTGGTGGGGCAGAAAAATGGCAGTCTTCTGTTGTGATTTAATGCAAATTATTTGGAAGCTTAGCCGTAAGTCTAACTCTCCTGAAAATTCTGTGCACTATCAAATATTCCTAAATTTCTCATCAGCAGAATCATCCAGTAGGCTACCTGTGCTTCTTAAAGGACCTGCACTGATCCAAGTATGAAGCCAGGAGAATGTGGACCCAAAAGAGTTAAAATAGGCTATTCTATTTATCTGCAACTTGACGTAACTGTCAAGAAACGTTGCCGAAGGTAATTTTTGAAAGGTAAAGATGAAACACAATTGTACAAATCGTGAACTTCCCTATTAAGGTAAAAAGCACCTTCCTTCAACAAGAAATGTGCTATCACTGAAAGTATGCACCCAAAGGAGTGAGTGACATGGCCCGGCTGTACGCACAATGGTTATTTGTTGAGGGAGGATTAAAGCAAATGATTTGCAAAAGAAAGAATGATTAAGAGATTATTATGATAATCAGTAAAACTCAGTAACAAAGAATGGATAGTTCACTGAGGTTTAATTCTAAATAGAAATAAGACAACATCCTTAAAAATCCACAAAAAAATACCTATAGTGGCAAATGCATTAATCCAAGCCTTTTAGAATAGCGACACTAAGGTTTAGTACTAAAAATAATTTCATATTAAATTTGAGGTTTGCGGTTTTATATTTAAAAGTTGAAAGAAAAATATATAGGATAGAGGTTAAGAGAACTTGCAACACAGGGAATCCAGGACAGATAAACCCCTCAGGACCAATAATGAGAACAGCCATACTAGGAGAGGAAGGGAAGGGGGTGGGGAGAGTAAGGAGGAACTGATCACAATGATCAACCTATAACCCCCTCCCAGGGGGAAAACAACAGAAAAGTGGGTGAAGGGAGACAGCGTCGGTACAAGACATGATAAAATAATAATTT